ATTTCGGGTTTCGGAGTTTCGGATTAGAGTCTCCCGAAACTAGTTTCGGGTAGGTTTCGTTTCGAGTGCCAACTCTATTTTACGCGTTCTAAATGTGGGTTTTTGGTATTTTTTATCTGTTTCAGGTTGCCATGTTCGAACTTCTTGTTCAAACTCCAACCAATTCGTGATCTCATCAGAAAACGCTGTTCAGTAGATTCAATAGTTGAGTTTGATTTGTCACGTAAATCAAGGTAGACCAGATTTGGTATGGTATTTAGAACGATTTCCGGTAAAGAAATCTCTAAAGCGTGGTTGACAGATGTTGTAATAGAAATAACAGGATCTTCTTCAGGTAGTCTTTCCTCTCTTTCATCCTTTTCAATAGTCTTGTGTTTCTTTTTTGGTTTAACTTTCTCAATAGCTTTCCTCTTAGTAGAAGTGATATCTTGGTTTTCCTTTTCATCCTTCTCTCCAGATTTCTGTAGTAGCAAAATGTATGAGTAAGATTCTTAGCCAATTCCTCCTCGAGAATCAGCAGACCTTAACCTAATAGTAAGATATGCACGTCACAGAAGCTCTATGTCTGGACGCTCTTCTTCCCTATGTACGAAAACATAAGGCGTAGCATACTAACTACTCTCGTTAATATTTTCACATTCTAAAGAACATGTAAAAATAAAAACCTTCAGTTGACGTTTTAGTGCTAACGCTTTCTTCCCTTCTTTCGTCTCAGGCCCTAATAGCTCTACCAACACTTTCAATTCTTTACCTAAATCGCGATGTGACGACACTTTCAGCTTATTGGGATAATTTATGAAATAAAAATTGTCCCATGTGTTTATCGTCCACTGCGTGTACGGCCTTTCCCAGTAGCTGGAATGTCGAACTTCATTTAAAATTTCTTTTGACAACATTATGCAAGAAGTTAACAGATGGCGAAAAAAAATAATAAAAAGCAAGGTATAAAATCATAGTTTAAAATATAAAAAAAATACTTATATGCAGTATGGCTCGAACTGACATCTCGACGCGAAAAAAATTAACATGCGAAAAATTAAGCTATATATTTAGCAAATGACTCAGCATTATTGACACAAAAAAAACGAAAACAAGTTGTATACGCGGATCTCACGTGAAGCGCCTCGCAAACATCAATCGAATCCAAATCTGAAAAGTTTCCTTTCCACTAAAATAATATGTCTTTATACATTTGTGAGTTACATACACTCTGTATGAATGATGCTTTAGGTTCACATTCTGAAATTCTGATGATTTGTACAAAGTTATGCTCCATATCAATACGATAATTTTCGGGTAAAAAACCGGTTACATTGTATATCATTTTTTCGTGAGGTTATATATGCATCAAGGTACGATCAAGATTTTATACCCAATATATATCTATGTTGATATAGATTTTTAATTCATAAATCTGGTGGCTGATTAATTGTGTTTAGTTTTGCATGATTTAATACGTTGTATAATTATCGATGTGACTCCTTGGGAAAAGTAATCTGCGAGACAAATCTGTCCCGTACTAGTAATTTTTATCGTTCACGAAACCCTATTTTTTGATCACTGGATGAAAATCGTGATTTCATTAATCGGTGTAACTCTGATCATTGTAGTTTTTATCTATATTAATAAACAAACTTTTGAACATATCCCATCTAGTATAAAACAATGAAAGACGCCCAATCTACAATCGATTCATTGAGGGAATTAAATTCTGATCTCATTCGCCAGATCACTGAACTTAGAAAGAAGTTTGCTGAGATCGAGACTGAGAATATAAAATTAAAACAAGATAAGGAAGAGATTGAAGCCAGATTTGTGAAATTAGAGTGGAATGATAAAGATACTGCTACTGAAAATGCTGAGCTTAAAGCTAGAGTTGCAAAATTAGAACAGAAGCAATTGCAAAATGACAAAGAAAAAAGTTTTCATATTGCTAAATTGGATAAGAATAGTAGAGAAATTAAGCAATCTTTAGTTAATATTATCTCTCTTACATCTGATATAACTGATGATATTTTAAATTTTGATATTTGTGAACAAGCAGAAAATAATTCCAATATTTGTCAAGAAAAAGTTAGCTAATGTTCTGCATCTTCTATTTCCTCTGAAACAAATTCTAATGATATTCATGAACAGATGGTCATACAAAATGAGAATGTTCCAGTATTTAATAATGGTTCAAATTCTAATATACATTAACTTATCTTCATGAAGTTTATATTATTAGAAGAAAAGAATAAAAATAATTTCCTGAATTCAAAAAATAAGGAACAAGTTAGTAAAGAGATTATTCAGAGCATTAAGATGAAGCTCCAGGATCAAGAGAAACTCATAACTTTACAGGTTATTGTTCTTATTATTTCCTGTAAACAAAAAAATATCTAATCAAATTCTCAGCACAAAAGTATGGGTATTGATCCATATACTTCGACTTTGTCAAGAATTTTCAATAGTAAAGTTAGTGTCAAGACATATAAATTAGAATAAACATCTATTGATTAAAAAGTTACTTGTAATCAAATGATAGAACAAAGTTTAATACAAGAGTTAACAGAATTTGTCATAGAAGAGAACATTGAAATTAAGAAATCTTTTTATTTGATTGATAAGAAAACTGTTACTATACAGAACTTAGTTTATTTATATCAGAAAACAAGTTTAGTAGAAAAAAATATGATTCAAGCTAAACAGGAAGAAATTTTATGCTAGTATTATTATAGAAAAGACTTTGAAAAAATGGTTAGTAAAATTTTGTTTAATCCTTTCAGAATTGGAGCTAGTTGCAAAAATAACAAAAAAGCTAATGATCTAGCAAGAGATCAAATATATGATGAAATAATTGAACATCTTTCAGATATTACATGTGAAAATTTGTATAAGGAACTCAGAGAATTATTAAAATTTATAGTTTATTCAAAACAATAGATAAAGATAAAATTAAGCAAGTTTGATCTTATAGTGCAACTACTATTTCATGTTAGCCAATATTAATATTCAAAATATTATAAATTCTATTTCCCAAAAATTACATAACTGCGAGACAAATCTGTTCTGCACTTATAAAAAAAATTTATTCACTGATTTTAGTTTTTTCCAAAAATAGAATTTGAAGCATCAGAAAACAAGATAGGTATATCATCTGACTTGAAATCTGCTGTTAAGAAGACTTTACCAGAAGATAAGATAAACACATTACCTATATTTTAATCTAATCCAACTCATGATTATGCTTATTTTCGTAATAAAACATTAAAGCAATATCCTAATTTATGTCAAGAAGATAGTAATAAAAATAATAAATATTATGAAATTACTGATGAATCTTTATACCTGCTATGCAAGTTAGATCATAATAATAATAATAGTATAGAAGGTAGATATAAAGTTGGATCTTATAATCTTAAATGTGAACAATGTGGAATTAAAGTTAAGGTAATAGCATAAACTCTGCCTTCTTACAATATTTGCTTGAAGTTAGAAAGTAAGTAATTACTATATGTACTTATATTTAAACAGAAACTAATTATTTTTTTTTTTTTTTGAATTTATGAAAAAAAAGCTTAGAGGCATATTTCTTTTTGTCTACTATTATTAATTTAAAGAGATGTGTAATTATATAAAACAGCAATATGAATACACAGACAAGAGTCAATAAAACATTAACTTCTGAATATCTGAAATGGAAAGTTAAATTAACAGAATTGTCAAGTTCTTTGACAGATAATATTTGTTCTAGGTAATATAAAAGATATAAGAAAAAAACTAAACTCAATCTTTGGATAAACTCTAAAACTTTTAAATCTTTTTAAATCAAAGATAACAAGAATAAAACAGAGGTATACATATTATATATAGACAAAAATGTATTTCTCAATTCTTGTTTTCTCATTTCTATCTTACTTGATAATCTAGTAGAAAGATAAACTCTTGTTATTTATATCACATTAGAGCAATTCAATAATTTATCATTTAAATGTAGCAATAAAAATAATGATTATGATTATTTAGAAATATGCTCTTTATATAATAGAGATTATAAAGAAAATATATAGAAAAATATAAAAGATGAATGGGGTTCTGGCAATTATTGTAATAAAAAAACATATTGTCTCTATTATTATAAGAGAACTTTTAGTAGAATTTTTATAGTAAATATAAAAATATAGAATAAGTATTATGTAAACTATAATAAATAAAAGTTTTATTTTAATTCAATAAAATCTTGACCAATTTATACAATTATATAAAAATAAAATTTATGAAGATGTGGATTCTTACTTTTTTATTTAATATTTTTTTGTCAGAACAACAATATACAAATATATATTTTTTATTATATAATAAAAAAACATATAGAGTAAATCATTAATTCTTTCTGATAATCACTTATATCAAAATTCTCTGATAATAAACTGGTAATAACTAAATAATTTATTAAATAAACCTTCTCTGGTCTCCTAAATAAAATTATTTACAACTAAATTTTATATATAGACAGCCTAGTTTTATATTTTCTGAACCTCTGTACAGTAAGATATATTTATTAAACTACAAAATACTTTATCTAAAATTTTTTAATAATCTATTAAGCTAACCTTAGTTGTTATCTTAAACAAAAAGACAGAGCTTACTTAGAGCTTCATTTTGATATATTATATATTAATATTGGATTAATATTAAAGGTTTTATACAAAAAACCTTTAAAACTTCTCTACAAAACTTGTTCTTTTTTTGCAAAAAAATTTTTTTTTTTGAAGGTCCTGTATTCTAGAACACCTAGTACCTGCAGATTACTACCAAAAATCATATTATTTATTAATTTAATACAAATTTTAATTTTTTTCTATTTTTGACTCGATTAACTAATACAAAAATTTGTTTAATGTCAATTATTGTAACCACTTAGTCTGCATACCCTGTGTCACTTATTTGTCACATTTACTTATTTGTCATATCTCCTTACTCATCATACTTCTTACTCATCACACTCCTTATTTGTCATACTTTCTTAATTGTCATACCTCTTAATTGTTATATCTCTTAATTATTACACCTTATATCTTTCAGATTTTTTTATATTCAAGATCTCTATTATTTATTTTGGTTTTAATTTTTAGAAAATTACTACATTTCACCACTGGTGATCATCACCAGTGATTTACAATATTTAAATTTAAATTTTTATCAAAGCAAAACTTGATTTTTTTAATATTTAAGGTAAGGTTTAAAAGCTAAAGTTAGAAGAAAGAAAGGGTTATACTCAGAATTTCATGGAGAATTTTTTTTATTAGAGCCCCAAAGTAGCTTTGTTAGTAAAATTTTATTTTATATTATATACTGGTGATGATCACCAGTGGTGATAAATAGCAAATCTCTAATTTTTAAACCTTAAAATATGCCTATTTTAGTCTCTAAAGACCCTAACTTCTATAATATTGATTACTATTATAGTAAATATAAAGATTGCCATAGTGTAGGAATAATCAAAAGAAAACCTCAATCTCTATATGTACTTCTAGCAGATGTTAATCCAATTAATTGTGATACTACTAAAAAATATTATTATTTTAAAATTTCTCAGCAACCTATTATTGCTACATGCTTTTGTGAAACATATTATACTAGCTTCATCTTTCAGTTTTACAGAATTTCTCACTCTACTTCTTTTGGACAACCTATGATTCAAACTTTTTTTACTATCTCTGTTAATTATTTTAGAAAAATTTCAGATGAACTATCTTAATCACCTACTCCAAAACAACAATTTGATCTATCTTCTTCTAAATCTCACATACTATTTTCCAGTTTCCAAATAGATCTTACACCTTCTGCAATTGTTGTATACTCTCAATACTACTATACATACCTTATATGTGGAACTAAAAATATTTCTTATATGATTATAGAACAAAGTAGCCATGCTTCTAATTATACAATCTGTATAATCTTTAAGCAAAACCTAATTCACAGACTTTATATTCCTGGTTTATTGAATATTAAACTTAAACTTTTGGCATAAACCTCTCCTCTTACATTCTAATAACAAATTGTTACAGTCTCAATTAAATCCAAACTAATTAGCTTAAATACCCAAACTTCCTTCTCTAATTCTAAAAAACAAATTATTCCTTCTCTTATTCTTAAACAAAAACTAATTCTTGTTCTTATTAAAATCCAACAAATGAAATCTAATGAAAAAATCCAACTTCTCAAATCCTTTCTTTTAAAGAAAAACAAAAAACAATAGTATTCTAAACAACAAAAACAAAAGAAAAAAAAAATTCAAAGAGATACTAGCAATAATCTTGATTGGTTTAAAGAATATCCAGTAACTGACACTATGAAAAACAATACCAAACTTAATAATCTGATTGCTCAACAACTATTCACTTTTATTAAACCATATCTCATTGATATTTATTCAAAAAGAATTATTTAATTAGCATCTGATACAAGTTCTGAATCAAAACTTAATTATAAATATTTAATTAAAACTTTAGTAAACAAAAAACCCAAATTCTTAACTGATCTTATCTATAATGCAAATCTTTTAATTGACAAATCAACATCTATTCTATTTAAATTAATCCATTTCACCTTCATCTCTCTTCTTAAAAAATTCACTACAACTTTATTTATTCAATTAAACTATCCAAAAATCTTTGCTTCTCAAAACTCTATTCTTTCATATACTACCACTAATTAGAAACAAGTAACTATTAATTTGGCTTGTTTACATCTTATTCTTCATAATAAATATAAAACTATTTATACAAAAAAGTTTTATGAAGATCTTAAACTTTATTCTATTTACTTCAAATTACATTATAATTTTAGTAAAGACAATATCAATTAACTATTTTTTAAAATTCAAAATGATGATATATTTAATATTAACATTTCTTTTAATATTTTTTAAAAAAAATTTCTTTAAACTTTTCAAATTTCATCTTTAAAAAATCATTTATCAGAATTTAAAACCTGGTTTGAAAAATTTTTAATATCTACAAATGACAATTTTATAATATCGATCAGGAAAAAACATTCAACTATATCAAATACTAAATTGCTCTCAAATTATCTAATATATGCAAAGCTTTTTTACCTTTTGAATTTAAAATTACCTCTATTGATTCTTTACAAGAGTGCTCTAAATTATGTTTTAAAGCAGCTTTATATCATATTTATGCTTGTATAGTTGAAAATTGTACAACACTATCAAAGAATACAGAACATAATATTAAAAACTTATTTTCTCTTTTTTTTACTAACTCATATGAACATTTTCTAGCTCCAACCAATACACAGCCCAAATTTAAATAGATATATTCTACTCTTGACTTCTTTATATTTAACAAAGACCAGCCTAAAGCTGCTACTTTTAACAAATCTACATCTATCACCTTTCTTTACCAACTTGTATCTAATACTAAAAAAGAATTTATTAAACTCAATAATGTTAAAACTAATCAAGCATATGAAAGCTATTATTTCTATAGCTTTTTCAAAGCATATTTTAGTGGTGCTGCAATAATGACCAAATTAACAATCATCATCTACAACAAATTATTTACAAAATCACTAGCAAACCTACTAGTACTGAATACTTAGCTAGAGTATTTACATATTTCTATATTCTTAAAAATAACAAACTTCTTTTTCTTTAATCAAAGAAGCTTACAACAAAAGATTCTACTCTAAAGCTCAACAAATATTGCATTATAAGTTTAATATCAAATTCAATATACCCAAAACTAAATCTATATTTTCTGATTTAAACACTATAACCAAACCAATACCTTTATTATCTAAAGAAAATAATAACTTATCCAAGCTTTCTGATGATGACATTATTATATCTGAATCAAATACTGAGAATACTGACCAAAACACAGAACAAAACTCACAACAAAATTTACAACCTGACTATGTTACAACATTCTCTTATAATCCTTTTCAATAAACTTTTCTGTAGAGCATATAAATACAGCTATTGCTTCTAAGATAATGATGTCTTCTATATTTAGTAGACTATTCTTAAAAGAGAATAATGTAAGTGAATGGGTGGTTAAGTCCATTTATGCAGAGGACCAGGTTAATGATGACTAGACCCAATGTACAGGACAGGCTATAATATTCTGCATAGCTGTGTAAGCTGAGCATATGGTGAGCAAATCTACAGAAGAACTCTCTACTTCCTTGAACTTCATTTCATCATCTTATATTAAGAAAGAACTACAAAACTCAGTTTACAATACATTATATAATTCAGACTCATGCTATAATCTGTAGTTAGCAAGATTGAACCTACTTTTACTTCTATATTCCCAAACACTTAGCTCCTTTTTAAAACACATTCATTATTACAACTACATATAATTAAACAATTTCAACTATACACTTACAATATCAATCAAAATTAATTATAGTGAATGCTATATACA